CATTGCGTAGTACTAGAATTTCGACTAGAATATGGTACGTTAATCGTTTGCTTGGGACCAATAGGCTACTAAAGTGGTGAGCCAATTTAAAATCGTTAGTTTCGTATTGATTGTTGGTACTACCCACCACAGTGTATTCAACAGATAGCGGTAATGTTTTAGTGACGATGTTTTACAGTGATAAATATTCAATGTGTTATGTCTGTTTGTCTGTGATTCCTCTATCATTTAATATGGTTTGTTCGCGAGATTGAGTTTCAATTTACGAGAAATCGGCGATAAACGGGTTTGTTTACAAAAGCGGGTTTGTTTACAAAAGCGGGTTTGTTTACAAAAGCAATTACGCCCAAATCTCAAAGTTCTCCGGACATAGACTTTCTCTTTGGTTTACCACGGTCAGAGCGTAAAATTATTGACTGCCTAGGCTGACTGTGAAATCACTGCACTATTCAATCCATTGCTCTGTGCAGACAATTTTGTACCAAACGGTAAAGGACGAGGCAATGAAAGAGCCAACAAAAACATTCAGTCACTCACGAGCAGGCGACGCACACCGCTTGCCTTCGTTCACACAGCATGTAATTGAGTAATTTTTCCATAGAAAATGTACGCTCAGTCATTCAAAACAAACATAGATCAGTGCACGAAGATTTACTGCACTCTTCTCTAACCCGTAAATTTTGACAGTTTTGGGTGGTTTGTTTTGGCTCCCATTCGTTGCCATCTCTTTTACTCAGAGACAAAATGATTGGAAACAAAAAGTGAGGTTAGGGACCGTGCACTGCTCTATTGGGTACCATCACGGTAGAATAAACGTGTTGACTGAGCTACTGCACTGAACGAAAACATCCGCAATACTTCGACTGATTATTGTGTTGCTCGAGCCCTTTAACAATATGCTGTCGAATTTCGGATGATTTCCTTATGGTTGAATTCGTCATCAACTGATGAGCATCCATATGCCTGTCCTCCAAATAAAGGATAATATTTATTTGAAAATTAACTGTAAAACATACTGGACTCAGAGGGCAACAATTTAAGGATAGGATGACTTGCAAATGCTTTAGATAAGATTATTAATTTGATTGTTTACATTTCCATATTGAATAGCCATTCATCATGGATACAAAAATATAGTGTTGATAGAGGAAACTTCCTCCACCACAAAATAGACAATTTACGGTTTCCACGCTTTGCCAATGTTCGTAACACCTCTGATAGCGATGGCTATGCTTCCACCTCGTTTGTCTACTCAGAGCAGCAAATGACGTTCAATAGAAGTATTTACATCATCGTTTTGAATGATTTGCGTTAAGGGGCTGAACCAATATCAAATGCATTTCAATTTAAGATGACTATCATTCTGAAAAGAGCATTACGCATTCCAACTGAAGGTCCTATCCCTTCTCATAACAATTTTCATCCTGTATTCGAGAGGAAAATCATCTGATTTCAAAACAACCGTCATCCGGTTGCAGCTATCCTTCGAAAATGCGATTTGAATAGTCTGAGGTTTCATTCGAACAAAGCGCGGTGGTTTGTTACAGTGTGACTGAGTGCTCGGCTGTCAGTGTCCAGTGACTCGTTTACCACTCAATCATTCAGACTCTCACGAGGCAGTGAATGATGAGGCAGATGGCAGTTCATATTCATATCAAAATGACTCAATGAACCTGACTGTTTTGAGCACTGACCACGGTAACATAAACGAATTTTTCGCTAAGTTCGCAGCACAGTTCGACAGAAGATGATGTTAGCTTGCGCTTGAAACAACACACTCAATGGGAAATTCATTTGCAGTCGGGTTATAAGGCTGTCCACGAGACAGTTGCGATCAGCTGACTTTTTTTGTTTACCAAGAACTTTTGACAGATTACAGTAGAACTGGCAGTTTATTCTCATATGAATTTCTGCTTTGTTTATGTTTACATTCAGCACCATTAACACCACATCACTCACACACTCTAGATTTCTAGCTGTCAGTTCCACTGTGAAACGTCTCTTGGATCACCTTATTCGCGAAAGAGAAAATCTATGAAGAGAATCGATCAACAATCCCACCTATTCTGCGAGTCACGTGACACCGGTGAGGTGACAATAGTCACCTCGTGTGAGGTGCCTCTCCATTTGATTTACATGGAGAGTCACCTCACACGAGGTGACAATAATTGTCAACTCACCGGTGACAGAGAGTCACGTGACTCGCAGAATAAGGGGGAATGATAGGCCCTTTTCTTGTGTTGCGCGAGAAACTGTTTTCTTCCAACAGTTTCATCTTAGTATTCTTCTTTTCTTGCATCGCGCATCATCTTTTTGAAGAAAATCTTCAGAATCGTCATCAATCTTCTCTCTACCTAAACGGCCAACTACAACAACTCAGCGATTTACTCATATTTGGAAAAAAATAAACTGCAGTTACTCATAGGTAATGAGTAACTGCAGTTTTTTTTTCCAAATACACTCTCCCTCGAAGAGCGCGAGTAATACGTACCGCGTAAATCGAATTCGCGTAAATGGAGTACACGTAGCATATGGGATTTGACCTAATAGGGACGAACATGGAATATCTCGCGATCCTAGACATAAAGAAGGTTACTGTATTCGTCGAAGTTGTTCAGTGGATCAAAACCTTATCGTTGGTAGACAGAAGTTCGGAATTTTCTCACTACGCGGCGCAAGTATGCTTGAATTTGTGATTTCTTCTTTATGTGATATCTTGAAATCCTTGCTATCTAGGAAGTTGCTGTCTTTGGCAAAGTTGTTCATAGGATCAAGACCTAATGGGTGGTGGACAGAAGATCGGAATTTTCAAACTACGTAGCACAAGTATGCTTGAATTATGATTCCCTTGTTTATATCATATCTTGATATTCTTTCGATCTAGGAAGTTGCTGTCTTCGACGAAGTTGTTCTGTGGACCAAGACTTAAAGGTTGGTGGACAGCAGTTTGGAAATTTGTAGTGTGCTTGAATTAGTGATGTTACATGTTTCAAGTTACATGTTACACGTTTCTTGTTACACGTTACATGTAACATGTTATTTGTTTTATGTTCCGTGTTTTATGTTACTTGTTGCATGTTACATTTCATATGTTACATGTTTCATGTTTCTTGTTACATGTTACATGTTACATATTACATGCTATGTTACATGTTACATGGTTCAAGTTACATGTTACATGTTCTATGCTTTATATATAATGATTTTGTGTCCGTTTTTTTTTTAGTTTTCATGGTTCATGTTTTGTGTTTGAACATGCAAGTAATGCAAGTAATGTCAGCCTAAAGGCCCAAGCGCAATGACAGCGGAAGCGGAACGGCAGCGGAATAGCCCGATCTGAGTAAGCCTATTTGTCGGATTGAAAACAAGTTAGAACCAAATCGACTTCGGTTAGGCAGCTTGATGTCATTTGTGACAACTGTCAAACTTTCCGTTTCCGTTCCGCTTCCGCCCACATTGCGTTTGGGCCTTAAGTGTCCCTAATTTGGGCCCATACATAAATTCAGGAATCGACTAAATATTCAATAGCAACCAAAAATATCCATTAGTACCTTCCCAATGACGCGTTCATCTAGATAAAATTGATAAATAGCAGATTTTTAGCGATGGGCCCAATGTTAGATCCATAGGCCTACATTAGAGACATTTCCCCTATATTTTACGTTTTGTGTTTTACTTTATAGGTTCTTCGTTTTATATTCAACGTTATATGTTATACAAAAACATTAAATTTAACATTTTATACGTTACATGTTATTAGCTACAAGTGAAAAGTTTGTTTCCTTTTAATTTTTTTTCTATTTTTCTAGGTGTAGAACAATTTTTATTTTTTTGGATTTTCAGTGCAAAATTACACCTAAATGTTAACTCTCTATGCCCTTGAGACCCAAAAATGTTTGGAAAGAGACCCCTGATTAAATATTTTATGGCTGGTCTCATATGAAAAGAGGGGACCTAAGCTTTTGTTTTTTGGGTGTTTCAGCAACTTCCTAGATGGCGAGGATTTCAAGATATGACATAAAAAAGGAAATCACTAATACATGCACACTAGCGCTGCGTAGTGGGAAAATTCCGAACTTCTGTCCATCAACCATTAAAACTTGTTCTATTGAACAACTTTGCCGAAGACAGTAACCTTCTATATGTCCAGGATCGGGAGATATTCCATGTTGGTCCCTATTAGGTCAAATCCTCGGTCAAATCCCATATGCTACGTGTACTCCATTTACACGATTCCCTCGCGTAAACGGAATCATTCGGGACCAACGTAAATGGAATTCGTGTAGACCGAGTTCGGGTTCTTCGGGGGGAGAGTGATTACAAAAATTGGTACAGACTAATTGTTGGGGGATTTAGGTTCGTTGGTTGAGCTGAATACTCCGTTTGCCTTTCCGTGCTCCAAATATACACCTTGTAAGCCACCTCATGTACCTTAGATCCTACGTTGTGTGTTTTTCCAGAATCGTACTATTTGTCCTTCCAATTCCGATCCTTTTCCGAATATCCTAGGTATCCTTTTGCTCCTCTTGTTTCCTTTCCTTCCACAATTGCAATAGAACTGAACCAATTCCACTTCCAAACACTTTATTTCAGGACCAAAGTTTAATACACTTTATTTGTACGGGTTTGTAAAGCGCGCGCGTATATATTTTTTGCCTTTATTCGTTCGCTATCGGTTGGCTAACTAACTTCACTGTTTCGTTATCTGTCTATCATACCTAGGAATTCATGTACTGTCTCTTCGTGTTCTATTCGTATTGAGTGTTCATTTAGGTACTAATAGTGTAAGTATTTAGTGAGTGTCTTCTATATGTGGTGAATGTATAACAGTTCTGTATCAACCAGTGTTGTAAATTCAATTTTAAATAATTCAATTATTGCTTAATACTAAAACATCCAACATTTCCGCCCTCCTTGAAACTAAGTTTCAACATTCCTGAACAAGCCTTGCTTATGTTAGATAACGTTCAAAAATTTTGCTTAATCCCTATTCGATGAATTCAATTAATATCGGCAGAATCCTCGGTGGGTAACGGGCAGATGCGGTTTGCTGGACGCCTGTAGGTTCCTTTAGACGTCTTGATCGTCACCACTCGTATAACTCCGTCTGCGCCGGGGTGAACCTCGGTTATCCTCGCTAGGGGCCATTGAAGTGGTGGTAAGTTGTCCTCCCGAAGAATCACGATGCTGCCTACACGGATGGTGCTTGGTAGACGGTTCTTACTTGCTTCCTGAAGTCCAGTGATGTACTCTTGACTCCAACGCTGCCAGTATCGTTGGAACATCTGCTGCCGTTGCTGATAGTGGGCTAAGCGGTTAGTGGGTATGGCTGTAAGATCGGAATCGGGGAGGGCTTTCATAGAAGTCCCGATCAAAAAATGGGCTGGTGTTAGGGCATCGAGGTCTCTAGGGTCGTCTGATAATGGGGATAGAGGTCTAGAGTTAAGGGCGGCCGATATTTGTACGAGCAGGGTGCAGAAGTTTTCATGACTCAATTGGTTCGTACCGACTTCCTTTTTCAGGCAACTTTTGGCGGAGCGTACTGCTGCCTCCCACAATCCACCGAAATTGGGGGCACGGGGTGGAATTAAATGCCAGGATATTCCTTGCTGTGACATTTCAGATCCAATAGCTTCTTGGGCAGCTTTGCTGTTGAGGCTCTTGTACAGTTCGTACAATTCGTGTTTAGAGCCTTGGAAATTTGTAGCATTATCTGAATGGATCTGCGATGGAAGTCCATGGTGTCCAATGAATCGGCGAAGTGCAGATAAGAATCCAGCAGTTGACAGGTCCATGACTAGTTCCAGGTCTATCGCTTTGGTCGTAAAGCATATGAAAACTGCAATGTAACATTTCGGTGGGGCTGCTCGACGGTGAGGGGGCTTTAAATAGAAGGGTCCACAAAAGTCCACGCCAGTTATGAGAAACGGCCGAGCTGGGCGTACTCGCGTAGATGGAAGCTGTCCCATCGGTTGTTCAATCGATGTGGGGCTCGACCGGAAGCACCGATGGCACATTCGAAGTACAGAACTGACGACTCTTTTGCCATGAATTGGCCAGAATTCCTGCCTTGTAGCAGCGAGCGTAGCTTGCTGTCCTCCGTGGTGTGTTTGAAGATGATAGTATTTGATGAGTAGGCGAGTGAAGACATGTGATTTTGGTAATACCGCTGGATGCATTGTCGCATAGTTCTCCAGCGAGTGTCGTAGTCGTCCGCCAACTCTGATAATGCCACCCTTGTCTAGGAAAGGGCATAAAAGCTTTAACGGTGATTTATGTGGAACTTGATAGCGCCTTTTCAAGGAGTTGATTTCTTCCAAGAAACATTCTTCTTGAACCAGCCGCACGAGGGTCATTTTTGCAGAGTTTATCTCATGGACACTCAAAAATAACGAAGTGTTTCTTTGGGTGGATTTTCGACAGTTGGCAGCAAACCGTAAGCATAATGCGACTATTCTGATCAACGGAAGAAATGAAGATCGAAGAGTGAAGAAGATGTTGGGCTCTTTCGATGCAGTGGTTGCTTGAACGACGACTCGGGGTTCCAGATCTACTTCTTCAGGTACGGATCCAGGACATTCCGTCAGCCATTCTTTCGGCGCCAGCTTCAACCATGACGGTCCGTGCTTCCAACGATCACTTTCCAAGAAATCCTCAATGGTCATTCCACGTGAAACCAGATCTGCGGGATTCTCCTTACCGGATACATGTAGCCATGGGTGTCCATAGGTGGTTGTTTGTATAGTCGAAACACGGTTTGCTATGAAGGTTTTCCACGAATTTGGCGGAGCTTTCAACCAATGCAGAACAACAGTTAAGTCCGACCAGAAAAATGCCTGCACTCTATCTAGTGCGAGGGCCCCAATAACTGTCTGATATAGATGCGCAGCTTCTCTAGCTGCGCATAGTTCTAATCTCGGGATCGTCAATCGTTTTAAGGGAGCGACCCGAGATTTCGAGGACAAAAGCTCAATGCGTACGTTGCCCTGTTGATCCATGGAACGCACATATAAGCAGGCTCCGTACGCAAGATTGGAGGCGTCAGCCAAACAGTGGAGCTGTACGTCGACGTAGTCTGGGATGAAGGAGAACCTGGGTATGCTGAATTCTGCTAATTTGAACAGTCGGCGATGGAAATCCGTCCACTTTTGCTGTAGTTGTGGTGGTACTGGGGAATCCCATCCTGTTTGCAGTAGCGCCAGCTCTTGCATAATTATTTTTGCAGTCACCACTAAGGGAGATATCAATCCTAGGGGATCGAATAGTTTGGCTATTGCAGATAATATGCGCCTTCTGGTCCATTCTCCTTCTTCCTCTCCAACATTATATAAGAACCTAAGCTGGTCCGCTTTCGGTTCCCAAGTAATCCCTAGCGTTTTAACCTTTTCATCGGGATTCAACTCAAAGGTTATTGTAAGATCAGTACCCAACTGGTCCTCAGGAATACCGGATAGGACTTCAGGCTGATTCGAGCACCATTTCCGGATTGGAAATCCTCCTTTGGCCATCAACGATGTCAATTTTTTTCTAAGCTCGATGGTTTCGACGACATTTGCGGATCCTCCAATATAGTCGTCGACGTAAAAATCCTTTTGTAGCGCTAGGCGAGCTTTAGTACCTTCAACTCCTTCATCTTCAGCCAGCTGTTGTAGTGCCCGGGTTGCCAGAAAAGATGACGGTGTAAGCCCATACGTTACGGTCAGCAACTCGTAAACATCTATGGGATCATCCTTCGTGAAGCGAAAAAATATCCGTAGACGAAGAGTGTCATTAGCGTCCTGAAGTACCTGCCGATACATTTTTTCCACATCTCCCACAAGCGCCACTTCATGCTTGCGGAAGCGTATTAGGAGATTTAGCAGATTATCCTGAATTACAGGTCCCTTCAGAAGAACATCGTTGAGGGAGTATCCGCTGTCTGTACGTGCCGATGCGTCAAATACGACGCGCACTTTTGTAGTTGTGCTTGATTCTTTTATCACCGCGTGGTGCGGCAAATAAAACACCTTCCGTTGACCTACTCCGTTGGCCTCTGCCTGCAGTTCCGTTGTCGTTAGCCTTCGCATGTGCCGCATGTCCACGTACTCCTTCATGAAAGCGTGGTATGGTTCCTTCATATCCGGGTGCCGTTCCAACCGATTCTCCAATTTCTTGTACCTGTCCAACGCCGTTGCTCGTGATTCTCCCAACATCCGGTCCCAGCTATTTTGTTTCGGCAGCTGCACGATATACCGGCCATCTGCTGCTCTGGAATGCGTACTCTTGAAATGCTCCTCGCTGTCTTGTTCCTCCTTTGACCATGCAGGTCGATCGTCGCAGCTTTCTACTCTCCAGAACTTCTCCAATAGATCTTCGATTCTCTCGATTGGGGTGACTGCCGTGCAACATCGAACTGACTGTTTCTGCTGTAGACTTTCATCACGTCCGGATACAATCCACCCGAATACCGAATCCACGAGTATTGGCAGCTTTGGACCCAACACCATTCTTTTCACCTCTCTATCGCGCAGGAAACTGAAGAAATGTTCCGCTCCTAGTAGCAAATCAATGCGGCCGCTTATGTTGAATTGTGGATCCGCCATCTGCAGGTCATGAGGAATATTCCAATGCTTGATAGGAATCGTAACCAAAGGAAGTTCAGATGTCACTCGCTGCAAAACCAGGAAATCCAATTCAATAGAGAACTCGGTGACTCTGGACTTAACCGTTGTATTCCCTGCATGTCTTGCCGTCGATTCCGATTGTCCAACTCCTGTTATGGGAACGCATATTGCTCGACGTTTAAGCTTCAGCATTTGGCAAAGTCGTTTGCTCATCACATTGACCTGCGATCCATTATCCAGCAACGCTCGGGTTAGCTGTGTACCACCATTTTGATCCCGTATCGCCACGACCACTGTTGAAAGGAACACCTTGGAACTCAAAATTTCCTTTTTCGTTCCAACGCTATATGATCCGACTGCGACTCCTTCGGCTGCTTCGATTTGTTCTTCTTCCGCTGTTTCTGCTGCAACGTGAGTCCTAGCTGCGTCGCTTTTGCCATTGCTGCCTCCTCCATTACCAGGTTGAAACCCCGGATGTATCAAAGTGTTGTGCTTCTTCCCACATGTCTTGCAGCTAAACCTTGACGAGCAGTCACGAACCCAGTGACCCGTTTTGAAGCAGTTGCTGCATAGCCGTTTTCCGTTGACAAAGTCCAACTTTTCTTTTAGTCCAAAACCCTGGAATTTTGCGCACCGTACCAAATAATGCAATTCACCACAACATTGGCAGGTTGGATCACTTTTTCCGCCCTCCGTAGACGTGTGTACAGTCACGCGCTCTCGTTTAGCCGCCGCCTTGGGATGAGCAGAGCCGTGATTGATGGTGTTGGATAACACAGCTTCCAAAACCCTCGTTCTTTTCTCCAGAAAGTCCACCAATACCGCGAACGTAGGTTCCCGTAACGATGCAGCGTGATCCTCCCATAGCTGCAGAGTATGCGCATCCAGCTTTGAACACATCCAATGGATGATCATCGATCCCCAGTGCTCCGTCTTTTCGCCCAGCTGCTTCAAAATCTTCAGCCGTTGATCGAACTCGTCCACCAGTCCATGTATTCGCCCAGCCGACTCCTTCTCGATCCTTGGGAATTCCATCAATGCCTGAAGATGGCGCTTCTTCAGCAAATATTCATTCGAGTACCGCTTGGTGATGGTGTCCCATGCTATTATGTAGTTTCCGTTTGTGATCATTAGAGACTCGATCAGTTTAGCTGCTTCCCCTCTCAGTGCAGACTTCAAATAATGAAATTTTTGCACGTCGCTGAGTTCATTTGAGTCGTGAATCAGCGACACGAACGTAGATTTGAAAGACAGCCAGCCCTTGTAATCCCCGTCAAACTCTGGTAATGAAATTTGTGGAAGCCGAACCCCTGTGTGCACACCCAATGAAGCATTATTCCGACCAAGAGTATTATCCAAATTTGCTGCTGGTGTAGTAGGTTCTAATTTACTCAAAAAAGCAGCCCGAATCGCATAATATTGCTCTTCGAAGTCGACGTATGCTTTGCTAGTCTCCGCCTCTACTTCGCCTTTCGCATCTAGCTCAGATATTTCGTCCTGCAAATCGTTAAAATCCTCCCAAGATGCCTCTAACTTGTCCAACCTGGATTGAACATGCCCTTGTTTACTTTCCGGATCATATGCATCCAAAAATTGCTTATGCCGATCCAAAGCAGCAAAAATGCGCTCGCGCTTCTTAAGCTTTTCCTTAAGTTTTGTAGCCATACCCACACTATCAGATAAGTAACGTTCCACAAGCAAAGGTCCGGAAAAGATAGACAAAAACAGACCCAGGAAGTACCGCTGATAGGACTATAAAGTCAATGGACAGTCACTCACCTGTGACCTGTCGAATTCAGGCCTTGTATAAATTTCAAATGCGCCAGCTATCAGCCCTCCGCAACCATATACGGTCCTTTGCTTCGTTACTTTCCAATGATAACCGTTGCAAAATTTGCAAAGGATGATCGCTGTAGCCTGTCAACAATAGGCCTTGATTTTAATTTATATTCTCGCCTCACGCTTCCCAAAACCGTTTAAGCATATGCATGTGAAGTACTCAACGTACTCCTCGATCCAGCAAAAATCGCTTTCCGCCAATCGCCCAAGTCAACCTTCCTTGCCAACGGTTTGATCGTATCTGCCGTGTATGGGTCCTCACCAGCTCTGGTCTTCACCGCCCGACGTCATATGATCCCTTTCGTAACTAATCTCGTTGTAAACACTCCAACGAATATATCATGTAGAGATGTCTCCGTTCCGCAGGTATATGAAATTGGTGAAAGAGATCCAAGTAGCACAACAAACAAAAAGGGTAAGATTGGACAGGCACTCACCTGAGGCCTGTCAACAATAGGCCTTGTATAATATATATAGCAGGAACCAGCAATACCCAATACGAATGTATATACCTTGCTCGGTAACCGTTATCCGGATCCTCACGTGTAGTCACCGAGTCCAGCCGAATCCAACCGATGCTCAGATGAACCAATCTGACTGTGCTCTGGGCATGCTTGGCATACACAGTTTTGGTCACGAACTGCTCATTTGCTAAAAACTTTGCACACAGTTGACGGAACATAGTTCTTTTTGAGGCAGTAGATATATTAGAGTATAAGCTTGGTATAGATATCTCAAAAAATGTAGATTTTAATGCTAGTAGTAAACTGTATTTGTTTTTGCGTTGTAAAAATGAGGTGAGAAATGCTCACTACACATCTCTTAATTTAAGTGTTAAATTGATAAGTGTTGATTCAAATGTTAAGCTTAACCTAATCTTCGTATATCTATAGTTGACTATGAGCCTAATCTATCAATTACTTTAAAGAAAAATAAATTTCAACATCTGAGTGAAAAGCTATTACCAAATGAGCAGTTGGTGTGTACAACTGTGCATGCCAAGCATGGCTCTGGGTGTTGATCAGACCAAATCAAAACAAACTTTCGATTCGTAGATCAGTTTGATGTTGTTCTTCGATTAATCCACACGTATCGACGTTCAATGTCCCGACTGTTTGAATACCCCACAGTGCGCTTAGTTTCAAAGACTAATCGATGTTTGTCATTCACTAATCGTCCTGACTCCAGTGTAGAATGTAGCATTCAATTGTCGAAGTGTTGCTACGTCGCGTTGTATATCGCCAATCGCACGACCACAAAAGTTGCAGTTAGCCCCACAATATTGTGTAAGATGATCCGTTGGGTGGTATAAGTAAAGGGAGCTGATTAACTTGCCGTTGAAATATTTCACCGCAATTGTCTCCTCAAACTGCCAGCAAACATGGCCTTGGCGCCATCCAAGTCCTCGTAACAATACGACAATGATCCAATTGTCCTCAGCACCGACGCTTCCCTACTCAACCGTTGATCCTGGTCACGGCACCAATGTTGGGGGATTTAGGTTCGTTGGTTGAGCTGAATACTCCGTTTGCCTTTCCGTGCTCCAAATATACACCTTGTAAGCCACCTCATGTACCTTAGATCCTACGTTGTGTGTTTTTCCAGAATCGTACTATTTGTCCTTCCAATTCCGATCCTTTTCCGAATATCCTAGGTATCCTTTTGCTCCTCTTGTTTCCTTTCCTTCCACAATTGCAATAGAACTGAACCAATTCCACTTCCAAACACTTTATTTCAGGACCAAAGTTTAATACACTTTATTTGTACGGGTTTGTAAAGCGCGCGCGTATATATTTTTTGCCTTTATTCGTTCGCTATCGGTTGGCTAACTAACTTCACTGTTTCGTTATCTGTCTATCATTGAGTTCTCCAAGCAGGATCTCACTAACACTACACTAACAATATAATTTTACACACACTAGCGTATACTGTCATGTGCACGGTAAGAATCAAACATCCATTTATGAGTAAAGGTGAACCCATTGTCAATAAAAGTGGCACTACTAATTAATGAGTAATTTATTATGCCAATTAAGTAGTAGCTGTTAGCTACTGTTAGCAGAAACTCATTGTTGTTAAAATAATTTACTCATTAATGAGTAAAGCCACTTTTATTAAAAATGGCTTAAATTTTACTCATAAAAGGGTATTTGACTGTTACCGTGCAAGCGTAGGGTTTGTTTTCGTTTTGTTGTTTATTTTTACTTTAGAATGACAGTTCTTACAGCAAACAAAAAATTTCTCACAGCTAACAAAAAATTTCATCTCACTAACACACGCAAATAGCACCAATACGAACCCACCTGGAGAGGACTATACCTAGGAATTCATGTACTGTCTTTTCGTGTTCTATTCGTATTGAGTGTTCATTTAGGTACTAATAGTGTAAGTATTTAGTGAGTGTCTTCTATATGTGGTGAATGTATAACAGTTCTGTATCAACCAGTGTTGTAAATTCAATTTTAAATAATTCAATTATTGCTTAATACTAAAACATCCAACACTAATTTTATTTCGCTGGAAACCAGCAAAATTTTGCCGGATTTGTTGCTATCCAAATTTGGGTAGAATTCACCCAGATCGGTCAAAACTGAACCTACCCAAAAATGGGTTAACTGTGTTGGGAGTTACAAGTTGACAAATGAACAACATCGACGTGGTTAATTTGTCACTCCCAACATAGTTTACCCATTTTTGGGTAGGTTCAATTTTGACAGATCTGGGTGGATTCTACCCTAATTTGGATAGTTTTGAAATAACGTGAATGCTGAAAGTACAACAAAATCTGTCGGTGGTCATTTCTGCACCTGCTTTAGACAGCATCTGGAAAAGATACATTGATAATAGAGTTTATTTTGACTTACTTTCATGAGGATCTTACCACTCTTCAAGATGAATATTTGCAGGAAATAGATAAATACTGTATCAACAATATTGTCGCCTGACTTTAATAACTGTTTACCGTGAAAAAGTATAAGTCTAACTGACTGATAGCACTTGCATATTTTACTGATTTCCAGCACTTCAAACAAAGCGTTGCTGGTATCCACTAAAAATAGTTGCTGGACATTGTTCAGCAATTCAAATTGCTGGAAGGCGAATTCAAAAGTTGGTGTGTACCCACCGACAAACCGACATGACACTTAATTCTGACTATTATGCCCGAAAATCGTAAACGGTCGATTTAACGGCTCAAACGCAATGCGGGCGGAAGCGGAACGGAAACGGAAAGTTTGACAGTTCAGTGATGGAAATCAAGCGAGCATGATCCGATTTCCAGTTTGTCGTAAACTGTACAGATCGTGATCTGTACAAAATACGACCAACGATTAGTCCTCTTACACCTTGAAAATACGTTGTTGCGTAGGCAACTCACAAATAGCAAATACATTGTTAGACTGAGTCAAGCTCAGAGAAGTGAGTTACCCTTTTCGCTCATTATATCCACAAATCGCAACATGTGCTTATTTCACGAGACGAGAGTGAGTGTCTCTCTGTGAGTAGCATTCTTTGGCAGTTTGGGGTTACGGAGCAATAGCGAATTTGTTTATTCCCAGGTTGGTACCAGTTCTAACCCAGTGCAAACCCAAACTTTTTTTCAGCGCGAAAGTCGACCCGTGTCAGGTTATAAAAACAAACGATCAAACTGACGTTTGCTAGAAAACAAGCCGACCCTAACTTGATACCCAATCCAGGTTGGAACGGTATAATAAACAAATTCGCTATAAGCAAGCATCAGCAGATAGGTGCTGATCATCGGTAGGGGAGAACAGTCTATTATGCACCCCCGGGGTAAAATGGCGCCGTGCGTGTTTCCGTTGCTTTCCCATTCCTATATCTGGAAATATCATGAACCAGAATGTTAGTTCAAGCACTGAACTAGCAATGCTGATTGTTAAATTCACGAATTGACAATCGGAAAGCTATGCCCCCAGGGGTGCGTTTTGAACCATCCTACCCCAACTTTTAACACGAATGCTGAAACGGGGCGATTTGGTGAGGAGGATGCAAACAAGTCGACTCTTTCGTTCTCTCGGTTTCAAATGCGCTACGTCACGTCTGTTGCCGTGTGCTGTATTAGAACGCGATGAGAATGAAAGAGTCGACTAGCTTACTTGCACCTCACCTGTAAATAGCGCACATTTGGCTCAGTAGTTCATGGGATGGTTCTGTCAACACGGTGAACTGTTCCTTTCTTTTTCACTCCACCGAAAGGACCAATGCCGCCAACGCAAATACATGCATCTTTTCTAATTCTAATTGAAAAAAAGCAAAAAAAAATTACGATCATT